CTGATAAAAAGTAGTGAATTGTTTTTGAGGAATCAATAAATGAGTGAGACTGCATCATTACTGCAGATTCTTGATCTTTTTACACATGCTTTTGGACTAGAAACATAACCCTCAGACAACCTGTAACAAGAATAATCACGTACAACTTCGTTCAACAAACCACGAACTACACCTTATGAGGACTGATGACATTACTATACTCCATAGACCTCGGCAGATGGGTTCGACGTTCAAGACATCAATTGAAAGTCGTGCCTAAACCAATCACTTACAGCTGTAGAACCAAGAGATTACACTTTTCTTTGACGCTGAAAACAAATGTCCCAGATTTTACAGACTGAGGCTGTTTCGATTTGATCATTCGTAAATTTATTAGTGTAATATAAATCCTAAACTACATTGCATGCCCTTTCGTCTTAGCCAAATGAGTCGGCGTAGGATGGCAGCCCATAACCCAATGACTTACTTCAACGATGTTAATTTGGTAGTGCCAACATACACGAGTAGTGGAGGTATATCCATGATTAGTAACTTGTAACATTCTTACGCCAGTCACCATCAACTTCTATATCTCAGTTACAGATTACAATAAAACAGAGAGCTGTACGAGGTACTCATTCTTTGATGGGCAGTAGACATCACGTTGATACCGAGAAAAGGCGTATTTCACAAAAGACAAAAAGGCATTTTGTGTTCTTACAGTGATTCCATTTGCCCCTAGCCCACCATAGTTGATGCAACGTCTGTATCAAAATAACTGAAGTAATCAACGTATCCAGCAGCTTAAAAACTATTCCTGTATGTGACTAGTGAATTTTAAGATAAAGACTCATTAGCATTCAGAGGCAGCCAGACGATAATGAAATTGGACGATAAGTAGTGGCAACATATATCCCTGAAGAACATCGGTGGCTTTTGTTACCTTTTAAGGTGTGATAAACATACTCTTGATTAAATCTAAAACCTGCGCACTTTCCTGGATTACTATTCTTCGCTCCAATCAGGTGATGGAAAACTAAGTAGTCTAAGAGTTTACAAACTACTTAATTCAAGTTCACACCAAAATCTTAAGAGTTTGGAGGCAATCAGTAGGAAACTTTGAACCCAAGGTTTGTGCTTATTGCCATTCATCAATAAGGTAGATCTGCAGTCTCAAACTACAGCTAAGTTGCGATAAACCACTGATTTCTAATGATTGGGGAACATGAGTCGACCTATTGGCACTGATACACGGTAAGATACACGAAAAATGAAGAAACTGATTATGGTTAGGAAGCTTTGGGATACGGTCTTGAAATAAACTTTTTTTCACTAGACAGCCACACCGGCTTATTCATTTCATTTATATAACTATAAATCATGCCTGGTATTAAAAACCTGTTAAAATCATTAATATCCACCTTATGAAGATTTAAGATAGGTTGAAAAAGGACACTTGATATGAAAGGACGAACCAATGAAACACTCAGGTACCTTGTGCACATCTGTGAAATCAGTAATGAACCACACCCATTGTGTGAAGGCTAGTGATACCACCTGGCTCTAAAAGCCTCGGTAGGTACAATGAAGCTTGAACATGTAACCCAGTATTTGATTATCAACACGAAACCACTGACTAACAGGACCACTGCTCCTAGAAATTTCTAGTAACGAAAAACCTAAACCGTCAACTACGCCAGATCCATGTAAGAATCGAATCTCGCATCGTTGACTAGTTCACTAGTAACTAGTCAGATAAACAGGGAAGATTGCGCATAGGGCTAGCAACCCAACCCCGTAAAACCAATCCAACCGCTACAGAAACTTCAAAGCACAAGGAAAATACAAAAAATAAAAACAAAATTACTCCTCACTGGAATCGGAGACGCGAAAGGATGCCGGTTGGTGAAAGACCTCGGGAAGCCAAACAGCCCCTGTGTCTTCTCTCCCTCGATGAAAGTAGAAGAATCGGGACATAGAATTTACGCACCATGTTTGAACCCAGCAAGGCTGCCCAGATTGCAAAGGAGATGAGAAGGTATAGCAATGAAGTGTTAGGAATTTGCGAATGCAGATCAAATGGAAGTGAACTCTCCAAACTGTCAACTGAAGAGTCAATAATCTACTCCCATATTGTCACCCAGACGACAACCACGAGCACACTGAGTTCTCGATTGACCATCATGATGTCCCCAAGAACATCAAAGGCTCTCAAGCAATGGGAATCAATCTCCCCCAGGATCATGACAGCAAAATTCAAACCAAAAGGAAGAAAAGCTACAACCATACAATGCTACGCTATGCACCTACAAATAACTAGGCAGATGAAGAGAAAAAGGAGGAATTCTACAGACAACTGCATTCAGTACTGGACAACACCACACCCCGGTTGGCAGCACCAAAATCCTAATGGGTTGGGTAACATGAATGCCAAACTGGGAGAGGACAACACAGGAAGAGAACTTATCATGAGTTGAGAAACACTCGCTGGAATGAATGAGAATAGAGAACTGTTCGCAGATTTCTGCACATTCAACCATTTGGTGATTGCAGGCAGTGTGTACAAACACTTTTAAGGATATTCACAAGGCAGCGACATAGACTTGATTCCACCAGATGGACACACTAAAAACCAGATCGACTTCATCTCAATCTCAAGAAAGTGGAGACGCAGGCTACTGGACACAGGATGAAGAAGGGGAGCAGATGTAGGTTCACACCACTATCCAGTGCAAGGAACCCAACTTCAAAATCAAGTTGAAAGCCTTCACAGAAGTTGGTGATAGACCACAGTTCAAGTTCAACACCCAGAACAGAAACTGAACTGAAAGACGAAATTACAAAGGATATCTTCACGTCAGTCATCAGGACAAAATGGGACATATTGAGCAACAACCCGAAGAAACCTGCATAGAAGAACACTGGGACTCTGAAAGAGATGTGGAAAGAAACCTGTATAACCGTATTAAGAAAGAAGAAGAAACAAGACAAAGAATGGATCTCGATGGACACATGGGAGCTGATAGAGGAGGGAGAGGAAGATGGTGAAGCAGAAGACAAACCAGTGCAAGAATGAACAACAAAAAGAGGAACTGAACACAACCTATAAAACAATGGACAAAGAAGTGAAGAAGAGTGGGTGGGAAGACAAAAGACACTTCTACGACACACTGGTAGTTGAAGCAGGACAGGCTGCAGGTAGGAGAGACCTGACAATATCATATCAAATAACCAGAATACTATCTGGGAGGAGATCAACGCAGATGACACCAATGACAGATAGTCAAGGAAACTTAGTTGCCAAAGAGGAGAAACAAAGGAAACAATGGGCTGACCACTTCAAGAAATTCCTGAATCGACCACCACCTGCAACTCGTCTACAAATACCACCAACGGCCCAGCCACAGAACTATCGGTGAACACAAGCCCTCCGACAAAAGCCGAAGTCCCGAACGCCATAAAGCTGCTGAAATCCGGGAAAGCAGCAGGACAACATGGAATTCCGTCAGAAGCACTGAAAACAGACGCAAAGACAACGGCGGACATGTTCACACCACTCCCTCCTGCAGAAGGTTTACAAGGAAGGAAGGAAAGCTACCTGCACACTGATTGGAAGAAGGGCTACCTTGTCAAACTTCCAAAGTAGGGAGACCTAAGGCTTTGCAAGAACTGGCGAAAAATCAAGCTCCAACCCTGTCCACCCGAAACTAAATATTAAGCCACATCATTCTGGAGAGACTGAAAGATGCGCTGGATTCAAAATCACGACCAGAACAGACTGCCTGGTTGGCCTCAACTTTAGCGACTTTGAAAGGGCTTTCGACAGCGTCGACCGAGGAGTAATTTGGCAGTTGCTTCAACACTACCAAGAGCCATAAATCTTTATCAACCTCAGCCAACAGCAGCTATATGATGCTACATGCCGAGTGATTCACAATGGAAGGCTCAGTGACGCCTATGAGGTGAAGTGAAGACAGGAGTAAGACAAGGACGCCATCCACTATCACCCATGATCTTCCTGATTGTGGTCGACTGGATCATGCAGTAAAATGTGACGACTGAGAAGAGGGGCATACGCTGGACCGATGAGAAGATCCTAGGAGATTTGGGTTTCGGCGATGATGATTTGTCTGTCTTGTAGCACAAACTCGAAGATCTACAGGAAAAAACCAACAAGTTGACAGAAGAGATAGGGCAGCGAAGATGGGACTTCAAGTGAACGTAGAGAAGACAGGTTATGAAGATACCCAACCAACAACAAGCACCAATCATCATCAATGGGAGAAACCTAAAGAAAGTAGTCTCTTTCACCTACCTACCTGCCTAGGCAGCATCGTTCCAACTACAGGTGGCAGTACAGATGAGGATGTCAAAGCCAGGATCGGAAAGACAGCAAGACAGGCTTTCATTAAACTGAAATCAGTGTGGAGATCTACTGCACTCAGCATAAAGTGTGAACAAGATCCGGATTTTCAACACCCACGTCAAGTCAGTGCTGCTATACGGTTCAGAAACCTGGAGCGTCATGAAAAGCATCTCCAACAAACTACAGACATTCATCAACAGCTGCCGCCTACGCTCAATCGATACTGAAGACGGAGATCAGATGACCAGAAAGAATAAGCAACAAGGAACTCTGGGAACGAACCAACCAAGAACCTATCGCTCAACAAATATGCAGAGGAAAGTGGAGATGGGTTGGGCATACAATGAGAAAACCATTCGGAGACATCACGCGCCAGGCACTCGAGTGGAATCCAAAGGGGAAACGACGAGTTGGGTGTCCGAGGGTGACATGGAGGAGATTATGTGAGGAAGAAATGTAAGCTTGTGGGCAGTCGTGGAGCCAGGTTCAAAAGACTGCAGAGAACAGAGTGAAATGTAGGTGTGCTACTGAAGCCCTATGTTCCACTAGGAACCCAAGGGACAAATAGTAATGATAAAATGAAATGTAAGAGTTTAATAAAGTATGTTGTGTTTAGAGACGGAGTATAATACACTTGAATGCGTGAAGTACTCACCCAGTAAACCTGCAAGTCCTTGTTGAAATCCAAGAGCAAAGCAACCATCGAAAATTGACAACACTGAATTCGATATTTTGCTACTTCCTTTGGTGGTTTCTTCATAGCACATATCCATTGTGGTTGATGCTAATGATAGTGATTCTGGTGTTTTACATGTCATGTCAATAAGTGGCAACCACTCTAAAGTAGTTAACACTCCGTGTATTAAAACAGATATGATGCATTTGGTTGAACTCAAGGAACGAAAAAAGCAGACGATGGAAAGATTATGATCAACATTAACAAGAATTACAGCTAAAGATTGTCTTGCTTTAGTTGATGTGTTTACGAATATAGCCTTCACAATATGCCAATTATGCAAATCTTCAGGAGAATCTGTTATATTCTTTAGTAAAGTTTTAAGATGTAAAACGGGTATCCATGTAAACTGATGGGACCAGTTTGGACTGTCACGAAAGCACTCCAGTTTATGTGAGTCGTATAAGCATACAGTTGCAGAAGATGAACTGAAGACTATTTGTGTCGTATTTTTGAATGGTGCATCAGCTTTGGATTTCGTAAAGTTGACTGAACCCACAGGTTGTATATACATTGGTTGCATGTTTACACAAAGTTAACCATCTATATAGAAAATAAATCAAAAGTAGAATAAAATAACTTGTTTTTGTATTTCATTGCTAAATCAAAAATACCCTAGAGAGAACCGAAAACGAATGTAACTCAGCAAACGAATGTAGCTTTGTGCACTAGGGAATCAGCCACGCCTACTTGTAGAGCTGCAGCTCATTGGGTCAGACACTCAACTTTTAGTCAGTATGCCGCGGATTCGGACAATGCTCGACCAACATAGGCCTTGACAGTAGCATTATCCGCCTTCACGATAACTGTAGCATATTGCCTAAGGCAAACGTATACATGAGTCCAAGCATAATACTACCTAACCGATCAGACCTCAAAATATGGAGCGGGGTTCAAACCTGTGAATCACTGGTTAGAAGTTGATTGCCTGCACCGATGAGCCACAACCCAACCTACAGAGAACAATATGTGCAACGAATAATGGTAGCAATAGCATGCACGTGACATATTTAGGAGCGTTAAAAACTAGTGAAAATCGAAATCCACTCAGCAAACATCTGCAGTAAGCATCTATTGTATGAAGTCTCACGGAACCACTTGGCTGTTCAGGCCTAGATAGGCCAAGAACGGTTCAACCTGTGACCCACTTGTCAAAATTCGAGTTTCTAGACACAGCTTCATGCTATTGGTACTAGTTTTAAGTAGCACCAGTAATAAGAAAATCTAACAAGAAAAGGAAACTAACAAGATCGAGAGAAACGCTGAAGATTTTTCATCGTAGACAAAATTCATGAAAGATATATTCGCTTGTTGCCCATATAGAGCGATCCACGCATGATTTAAGCACAAAAACTACCTTTTAATGGAAAAAACAGTCACAGCCATAATGCATCGTTCATATAACTTGGTCTGACGACCTAAAGGCTCTTATATAGCACTATGACTCAATAGCATTGTGTACTAGTGAGTAAATAATGATTTGGTCATCTAGTGTGACGTATGAGTACGAGCTATGCATAACAATGTAAGATATGATGAATTTCTCAGGAAGGAACAGTCAGTGGTCAAAGATACTGGAACTTAAAATATGCTCCAATGACAGTTTTACTTGAATATCGAAAACCGATGTAATTCAGCACTCACAATCACATCATATTTCACTGAACATAGTTTGAGACATTTTTTCAAATTCGTACAGCATTTTAACCAGTTTTTGTTACAAAATCTAGATACGTCCGTTACCCAGATCACTTTATATCCTGCGAGTATGATACAAAGCAGTTCTCTAGTTCGTTCGGGTTTGTGGCTTTAAACAAAAGTAAAAAACTAAAATTCCACCTCTTAATTGATAAATTCCAAGGTGTCTCAGAGTAAAAGCGCTAAAATTTACAGCTGGTAATTTCTGGATGTCAAGTTATCATTCAAAGTTGGTGTAAGCAAACACAAAAAATACTTATCTAAACTGTTGTGTTGTTACTAACACCAAGGTGATTATATAACACTAAACCAGTATTCCCGAGAAAGTGGTGATGAAACACGGAGACGATGGAAAACTTCACGCAGCTTTTTATCGGTCTACGATGCCACATTGCATAAATATTTTATAGGAAATCTGTCCGTGTCAAGAACAAGAGAATTAGGTGAAAACGCCAGGCATGGACGAAGAGAAAATTTTACGGAAAGCATGATGAAAGCAAACGTTTCACATCAACAAAACACTCAAGATTAAGAAAAGAAAGAGATGTCTGTATAATTCCATCTATTTTAGTGACATCCATTGAAGTCTTTAAGTACTGAATCTAGATACCTCATAACTCAATTTATCTTTGCGTATTAGACAAACACATCAAGAACCTTGGCTTTTTGTATCAGATGTCGATCTTACAATACCAATGCACTCTTCTGATTCGAATTTAGACAATATTCCACAGGGAGATAAGAAGCGGTAAAACATACAGTCGGCGAATCATTACAACTACGACTGATTCCCACTTATTACTTGGAAATTCACGCTATATACTAATATAATTAGACGGAAGAGTATTGTTATTCAACTTTCACTAGGCATCAAGATGTTGCATTCATTACTGGTGACATGAACTGATAATTAGGTGAGCTTACTATCCTTATCCTAGGTTTTATTAAATCAAAATAATGGTTGGATATTAAGTGACGTCTTTTAGGACTTATGTTACCGAGTGCACATCTGGGCACATCACACTGCTTCTCGCAATTACCTCATGTTGGTTCCCATAACCATATACTGAGTCTCCAGTTCAACTGTCTTTGGTTATTTCCCACAAATAAACCTCCAACTTCTATTGCTAAGTATATTGCTCGCCTCGGTGGTTATGACTACTTGAGGAACACATAGGTCCACTTCTTATTACCATTGCTTACATAATGATTTTAGTGTTGTTCGAGATGACAAGTGAGCACCCTAATTTCAGTAATGCTGGTCTTGTGTTGAAAAATAATGTACTAGCATATGTCTCAACAAGAGACGGTATATTGTGATCAAAAAAGATGCTCAAAAATAATGCACATAAACTGATAATATCATTATATGAGGCTGCATACCAAACATGGCTTAAGTTTCTGTGAGAACTGGTAGGCGAACTAATTATCCCACAGATTTATCTATTCACAGATATATAGGTCAAATAACATCGATCTATTATCACCGTTGAAGTCCCGACAGCTAACCCATATTGCAACGAAAAAGTTTCCGTGAAATAGATAAATAGTTTTTGTGACGACTTACAAACAAGTATGATGGTTGTATGGCTGCAGCTATCACTAAGAATAAGATGTATGAAACCGATTTTCACAACTCCAAACAGTAATTAACGTCTATGAAGACTGTTGAATACTAGTTTGTGGCCAAGGAATGCACAGCGCCGTCACTTATCAAATTTGAAGACAAATTCGTGCCCGACCTTTGAAATATCGCGAAGGTCGAGGTTGTCAAACACGGCATTCATGCATACATGTCATAGCTCCGACTTCAAAATTCATATCATATGAATATAGAACAATGGTCCTCTACACACGAAATCTCCCTCAATAAAGTTTCTCCCATGTTAAGGATGGCCACTTGCTTACCCTTAGGCAATATGCTACAGTTATCGTGAAGGCGGATAATGCTACTGTCAAGGCCTATGTTGGTCGAGCATTGTCCGAATCCGCGGCATACTGACTAAAAGTTGAGTGTCTGACCCAATGAGCTGCAGCTCTACAAGTAGGCGTGGCTGATTCCCTAGTGCACAAAGCTACATTCGTTTGCTGAGTTACATTCGTTTTCGGTTCTCTCTAGGGTATTTTTGATTTAGCAATGAAATACAAAAACAAGTTATTTTATTCTACTTTTGATTTATTTTCTATATAGATGGTTAACTTTGTGTAAACATGCAACCAATGTATATACAACCTGTGGGTTCAGTCAACTTTACGAAATCCAAAGCTGATGCACCATTCAAAAATACGACACAAATAGTCTTCAGTTCATCTTCTGCAACTGTATGCTTATACGACTCACATAAACTGGAGTGCTTTCGTGACAGTCCAAACTGGTCCCATCAGTTTACATGGATACCCGTTTTACATCTTAAAACTTTACTAGAGAATATAACAGATTCTCCTGAAGATTTGCATAATTGGCATATTGTGAAGGCTATATTCGTAAACACATCAACTAAAGCAAGACAATCTTTAGCTGTAATTCTTGTTAATGTTGATCATAATCTTTCCATCGTCTGCTTTTTTCGTTCCTTGAGTTCAACCAAATGCATCATATCTGTTTTAATACACGGAGTGTTAACTACTTTAGAGTGGTTGCCACTTATTGACATGACATGTAAAACACCAGAATCACTATCATTAGCATCAACCACAATGGATATGTGCTATGAAGAAACCACCAAAGGAAGTAGCAAAATATCGAATTCAGTGTTGTCAATTTTCGATGGTTGCTTTGCTCTTGGATTTCAACAAGGACTTGCAGGTTTACTGGGTGAGTACTTCACGCATTCAAGTGTATTATACTCCGTCTCTAAACACAACATACTTTATTAAACTCTTACATTTCATTTTATCATTACTATTTGTCCCTTGGGTTCCTAGTGGAACATAGGGCTTCAGTAGCACACCTACATTTCACTCTGTTCTCTGCAGTCTTTTGAACCTGGCTCCACGACTGCCCACAAGCTTACATTTCTTCCTCACATAATCTCCTCCATGTCACCCTCGGACACCCAACTCGTCGTTTCCCCTTTGGATTCCACTCGAGTGCCTGGCGCGTGATGTCTCCGAATGGTTTTCTCATTGTATGCCCAACCCATCTCCACTTTCCTCTGCATATTTGTTGAGCGATAGGTTCTTGGTTGGTTCGTTCCCAGAGTTCCTTGTTGCTTATTCTTTCTGGTCATCTGATCTCCGTCTTCAGTATCGATTGAGCGTAGGCGGCAGCTGTTGATGAATGTCTGTAGTTTGTTGGAGATGCTTTTCATGACGCTCCAGGTTTCTGAACCGTATAGCAGCACTGACTTGACGTGGGTGTTGAAAATCCGGATCTTGTTCACACTTTATGCTGAGTGCAGTAGATCTCCACACTGATTTCAGTTTAATGAAAGCCTGTCTTGCTGTCTTTCCGATCCTGGCTTTGACATCCTCATCTGTACTGCCACCTGTAGTTGGAACGATGCTGCCTAGGCAGGTAGGTAGGTGAAAGAGACTACTTTCCTTAGGTTTCTCCCATTGATGATGATTGGTGCTTGTTGTTGGTTGGGTATCTTCATAACCTGTCTTCTCTACGTTCACTTGAAGTCCCATCTTCGCTGCCCTATCTCTTCTGTCAACTTGTTGGTTTTTTCCTGTAGATCTTCGAGTTTGTGCTACAAGACAGACAAATCATCATCGCCGAAACCCAAATCTCCTAGGATCTTCTCATCGGTCCAGCGTATGCCCCTCTTCTCAGTCGTCACATTTTACTGCATGATCCAGTCGACCACAATCAGGAAGATCATGGGTGATAGTGGATGGCGTCCTTGTCTTACTCCTGTCTTCACTTCACCTCATAGGCGTCACTGAGCCTTCCATTGTGAATCACTCGGCATGTAGCATCATATAGCTGCTGTTGGCTGAGGTTGATAAAGATTTATGGCTCTTGGTAGTGTTGAAGCAACTGCCAAATTACTCCTCGGTCGACGCTGTCGAAAGCCCTTTCAAAGTCGCTAAAGTTGAGGCCAACCAGGCAGTCTGTTCTGGTCGTGATTTTGAATCCAGCGCATCTTTCAGTCTCTCCAGAATGACGTGGCTTAATATTTAGTTTCGGGTGGACAGGGTTGGAGCTTGATTTTTCGCCAGTTCTTGCAAAGCCTTAGGTCTCCCTACTTTGGAAGTTTGACAAGGTAGCCCTTCTTCCAATCAGTGTGCAGGTAGCTTTCCTTCCTTCCTTGTAAACCTTCTGCAGGAGGGAGTGGTGTGAACATGTCCGCCGTTGTCTTTGCGTCTGTTTTCAGTGCTTCTGACGGAATTCCATGTTGTCCTGCTGCTTTCCCGGATTTCAGCAGCTTTATGGCGTTCGGGACTTCGGCTTTTGTCGGAGGGCTTGTGTTCACCGATAGTTCTGTGGCTGGGCCGTTGGTGGTATTTGTAGACGAGTTGCAGGTGGTGGTCGATTCAGGAATTTCTTGAAGTGGTCAGCCCATTGTTTCCTTTGTTTCTCCTCTTTGGCAACTAAGTTTCCTTGACTATCTGTCATTGGTGTCATCTGCGTTGATCTCCTCCCAGATAGTATTCTGGTTATTTGATATGATATTGTCAGGTCTCTCCTACCTGCAGCCTGTCCTGCTTCAACTACCAGTGTGTCGTAGAAGTGTCTTTTGTCTTCCCACCCACTCTTCTTCACTTCTTTGTCCATTGTTTTATAGGTTGTGTTCAGTTCCTCTTTTTGTTGTTCATTCTTGCACTGGTTTGTCTTCTGCTTCACCATCTTCCTCTCCCTCCTCTATCAGCTCCCATGTGTCCATCGAGATCCATTCTTTGTCTTGTTTCTTCTTCTTTCTTAATACGGTTATACAGGTTTCTTTCCACATCTCTTTCAGAGTCCCAGTGTTCTTCTATGCAGGTTTCTTCGGGGTTGTTGCTCAATATGTCCCATTTTGTCCTGATGACTGACGTGAAGATATCCTTTGTAATTTCGTCTTTCAGTTCAGTTTCTGTTCTGGGTGTTGAACTTGAACTGTGGTCTATCACCAACTTCTGTGAAGGCTTTCAACTTGATTTTGAAGTTGGGTTCCTTGCACTGGATAGTGGTGTGAACCTACATCTGCTCCCCTTCTTCATCCTGTGTCCAGTAGCCTGCGTCTCCACTTTCTTGAGATTGAGATGAAGTCGATCTGGTTTTTAGTGTGTCCATCTGGTGGAATCAAGTCTATGTCGCTGCCTTGTGAATATCCTTAAAAGTGTTTGTACACACTGCCTGCAATCACCAAATGGTTGAATGTGCAGAAATCTGCGAACAGTTCTCTATTCTCATTCATTCCAGCGAGTGTTTCTCAACTCATGATAAGTTCTCTTCCTGTGTTGTCCTCTCCCAGTTTGGCATTCATGTTACCCAACCCATTAGGATTTTGGTGCTGCCAACCGGGGTGTGGTGTTGTCCAGTACTGAATGCAGTTGTCTGTAGAATTCCTCCTTTTTCTCTTCATCTGCCTAGTTATTTGTAGGTGCATAGCGTAGCCTTGTAAGGTTGTAGCTTTTCTTCCTATTGTTTGAATTTTGCTGTCATGATCCTGGGGGAGATTGATTCCCATTGCTCGAGAGCCTTTGATGTTCTTGGGGACATCATGATGGTCAATCGAGAACTCAGTGTGCTCGTGGTTGTCGTCTGGGTGACAATATGGGAGTAGATTATTGACTCTTCATTTGACTTCCCGAGGTCTTTCACCAACCGGCGTCCTTTCGCGTCTCCGATTCCAGTGAGGAGTAATTTTGTTTTTATTTTTTGTATTTTCCTTGTGCTTTGAAGTTTCTGTAGCGGTTGGATTGGTTTTACGGGGTTGGGTTGCTAGCCCTATGCGCAATCTTCCCTGTTTACCCGGGCTTAATACCAACTGTTTACGAGTGAACTATTGAACCAGACGAGGTTTTGTGGGGTCTTGGTAGGCAATATCTTTTTAGGATGATGTATAAACCGGTCCATTTCCCCGAACTCGCTTCTGTATCTTGCGGAACGGCTGCTGGTCACTGGTGCACTCAGAGACAGTTTATCCACCCAGTTTGTTTAGTTGGATTGGCGGTTTTGTGCTGGTTAACTTTGTAGCGATTATATGGTTTTTCCAAGGACTGCTTCTCAGAAGGTTTTCCTACGTGTCTGGCCAGCTGACAATTATTCTAACTTTCTGTAAAAAGCAGATAGCGAAGATGAAAAGATCATACGGTTTTGTCAGACTTTTCCGCACACGCAAAAATCTTTTTCCCATGACACCACGGGCTTCTGAATCTTTAAATTCTTGACAATCTTCGGGGCAGTACGATTTCAGTTATTGCTTTCTTTACCTCCAGATATATCATTACTTTGTAAAGGTATTTTAGTGTTTCGACTATCATGCACTTCATTTTTATGTAAACACTCTTCCAATCAGCTTTCGTCCTGATAATAGATATCCTTAACATTCCTTCTATGTTTCGGATATCTTCGAAATGAATTTACCTTTCTCACAACATTTTACATCGAACACGGATATTCCCTCTTACATCTGTATTCTAGGGAGGGACCTATGTAGCATTTTATTTCACTGTATTGTGTTGGTACATGTAACAACTCATTGAATATTTTTTAGTTGTACCGATAGGGACTTTTGCTCACCCGTCAACCAACACAACATCCTGATACTTACTTCGCGTTAACTCCCGATATTTGCACTGTCTGTCAAGTGGATCAACAGTGTCGGGAATTATAAATAGGCAATAGTGTGTCTGGACACTTACACAAATTTGGAGTAGGATTTGAGAGCCCGATAGTATCTTCGTGTGATGCTGTAGGGGTGCTCGTCGTAGGTTGCACGATTGCGGAGAGGTTGACCGAAGACGGATGTAGTGATATTTAAGAACAGTACTGATGAAATGTTCTGATTCCAATCTAATTGCAGGTTTCCAAGATTCTATTCACAATAAGAATATGGAGAACAGAGCGGAGAACCAAGGCGCAAGGATGTCAATCATATTTAAATTTTAACTTTTGCGCATGGTGTCATACCTACTATTTAATGTATAGTCCTGGGTTTCATGTGTATATTCTGATAAAAAATATGCTACTCACTGAGTTTTGTAAATGCTTTTTCTGAAGGGCTACATCTGAAGCTGTCTGCATTGGTGATGGTGATAAGCTGGAGGTGTGGATGGACAGTTAATTAACGAAGTAGTCCTAATTGTTTCAAACTTGTCTGTGGAATGTAATGGGGAAAGTATGGACTTACCGATCATGGTATAACACCCCATACATGTGATGAATAAATGAACGTTTTATTCTCACATCAGTAACTTGACATGAGAGAAGCCAGTTTACAGACATCACAGCATTCACGTGTATCGAAAAAGCTACAAGATTTTATGAGTCCTGAATGGTATAAGTGGAATGTCATTAAACTCTACTAAAAACATCAGAAGATCCTGCTAGCTATGAAACGAACAAGAAAATATCTCTTTCCAACGTATACGGGGTGTTAAAGGTTAGATAACAGTGAATGTCACCCCATATGCTGGATTTAACATGAGATGCCAGTTTACAAGCATCGTCAAATTGATAATTCATGAAAGTTTGCAAAGTGTCATTTAGTTTTGAATAATTCACGTGTCAAGACATTGGCGTGCATAATTTTATTAAAATTTGCTGAAATTCATGGGACGGGCATAGATTTTCATCTTCCATCACACAAACAGGCTCCACTACCAGGAACAAAAGCGTGCAGTTTTCGAAGTTCGCGTTATAACCGGCCGACGTTGTTAGCCCGTTTGCATAGTTCTTTGTTTAGCAATATACCAGTCTGTTCGTCAGAAAGCTCCTCAGTTTA